AGTAGTAGTAGTAGTAGTAGTAGTAGTAGTAGTAGTAGTAGTAGTAGTAGTAGCAGTAGTTATCACCCGACAGCAACCGTTGTCATGTATCTGGTTGAGGTAGCGGTAGTGGGAGTGATAATGATAGGCTTGTTTTAAAAACTGCTGTTGCCTATTCTGTCTTTGGCCAATTAACATCGCCGACGCTGTGCTAACTCGCTGCCATCTGGATCATAACACTCTGCAGTCCACGTACCAAGCGGGCAAAGTGCGGGGTATTGCCGATGCGTTATTCCATTTCCAGAGTCAGCCCGGACACGAATGGCTGGACGATGAGAACATCAAAGGCTTCCTCACCACTACCTTTTTCGCAGGTCAGTAAACTCCGAATCGAACGCACCCTGGTACAAGACAAATGAAAAAAGCAAAACGTTGACAAGCTGTTCAATAAGTTCTTATTCCAGAAAGCAAAAGTTATCAGAAAAAAACAACAACCAAAAAATACTGTATCCTTCTTTCAGAAATCGTACTAACATCAAGTTTATTTTCAGGCTTTTTTCAACGTTATCTTAGAGTTTAAATTTTAACAACATATTTCTAGAGCACATGATACTACGGACTCAAAAACTGCAGTTTTAAGAAATCAAATATTTGGGCTTAGTACATCTGAACAACTGGCAAACAAAATTATGACTGTAAGGAAAATAAAACTGTCAAACTGAGAAGAATAACATTATCAGATGGAAGGAGTAATATCTTTTTTTCCGGTTGTCAAGGGTTGAGGCATCTTTTAAAGTTGATAACTCTTCCGTCCTACATCTTCACCACTGGGCTAGGACAAGTTCCTAACCATTCTTGCGATAGAACATGATTTGGGCAAATGTAGAAGCCATAACGGCTAAATGTGAATTGCAAGACTCAATTTAGCTTTTCAAACTCAAACAAACAATGAAGCTGACACATTGTGATCGTCCTCCTAATTCTATAAATGAAGTGCACTGACTTTCAAGACACACGAGAATGTCTCCTCAGTACGAAAAATTAGAGATGTCAAACAGGTGTTAGACATGTTACTTGGAGGCTCTCGTAGCCTAGAGGCTAAGTTGTTCGCCTCTTATTCAATAGGCCCCGGGTTCAAATCCAGATGGTGACGGAAGATTTTCTTCCCTAAAATGTTCTCCTTTTACGTCCTTTCCTACTCTCTAACCATGTTCTGTCGTCTGCTTTCGTTTACACTTTCAGCTACACACCCTCAGCTCCTTTGCTCCTGACTCTTTCTACTGCTACTCCTTGGCTCCTTCTTTCTGCTGTCTTTCAGCCACACCTCTGATCTTATGGTAGGAAAGATCTACGCCGAGCCATCTCGGAGGTCCCATGTGCAATTAGCGCACTTTAAAGATCCCTTGGTGGTCTAAAATCGATAAAAATAGGCTTCGGCCGCCACCCGGGAAAAATTCTAAGTTTCCTACCAACTGGAAATGTTAAATGTGTCTCTCGCGCTCATATGACCTTATGCAGTTGCGAGCGTCGTACACTGATCTCCACCAAAAAACAAACAAACAAAAACAAACTAACCGAAAAAACAACAAACAAACAAATAAAAAAAATAAACCAACCAAAAAAAAAAGAAAGAAAACTATTTTTTTAAAACCACCCCCCCAAGAAAAACAAGAACATGTTACTTGAAGATGACAAGATGACATAAGACACATGTTGGACTATGGACTTCACTCACCTGTGATAGGCGCTGCCATTTTGGAAGAGTGATTAATCCAGAATTTTCAATACCAGGGCAAAAGCAGTTATTGAAAATGTGGATCGGAAGTTATGACGATATTGGAGTTTTCGTAAACTGGTTTTTAGGAATGTTACATAGTCTGGACGATGCAAATTATGTCTGTTGCATAACGCCAAAAGACTCTAAGTCAAGAAATTATATCGATGAGCGTATTTTATTAACCTCATGAATAAAGTGACCGCTGTCTTCCCAGCTCACATGACGTCACGAGCTAGCCTACTGAACATCGTACTGATATTGATCCACCACCCAGAGGTCGCAAGTCGAATACAGGAAGAGATCGAATCTGTGCTCGGGGATCGAACACCGCGAGTCGAGGATCGTCTGAGTATGCACTATACGGAAGCTGTGGTTATTGAGAATATCAGGTTGGTGTTTTGATGTATGAATGTGCGCGTGCGCGCGTGTGTGTATGTCTGTGTGTGTGTGTGTGTGTATGTGTGTGTGTGTGTGTGTGTGTGTGTGTGTGTGTGTGTGTGTGTGTGTGTGTGTGTGTGTGTGTGTGTGTGTATATATGTGTGTGTGTGTGTGTGTGTGTCGTGTAACGACGCGGTGGGATCAGGTGGTCATCACTTTGTGGGCATATCGTTTGCCCGGGTGTCGGCTGAAGCCTATCCTTAACCCTTATCGATTTTGGACCACCAAGGGATCTTTAACGTGCTCAGATTGCATACGGGACCTCCGAGATTTTTCGCCCTTGTCCGAAAAAGGCTAGGTGTAGATCTTTCCTACCATAAGATCAGGTGTGTGGGTGAAAGAAAACAGTAAGAAGGAGCGAAGGTGTAGCAGTAGAAAGGCTGCAGAAAGAGTTATTTAGCGATTGAGGTTAAAGCTTGTTCATTTATCTTGCTTTAGTTTAAAAAAAAGTACTTGTAAAAAGGAACAAAACTCTTATATTATATCTATCTTTAAAAGAAATAAAGTTATTTGCGATTGAAGGAGGTCGGGGCTGCCTGGTTTCAGAAAGAAAATTAGCGAGAAAAAAGCCCGCCAAAACTTTATGATCTCTAAGCTTGAGTGTCCTTGAAAACTGCACGTTTACAATTTTTGTACCTTGGATCAGCGTTTTTCCGTAAAATCCTCACAGAAATGTGTTTTAAAATAGAAATAAAAGGTGTTGAGACAAAAAAAGTAAAGTGGATTAAAATTGTGGAGTGAGAAAAAAACACAACCCTAATGCCTGTTTCTTTGATTTCATGATATTGACGAGCGCCTGATTCCATCATCAAGCCATTTTGCTATATATAAGTATATGTACATATATGGGAAATACAACAAGCTACCCAGAAAATAATCACGAACAAACGTACAAATAAAAAACAGCAAAGAAAGAAAAGAAGAACAAAACCAAACGAGCCAATGCGCGCTCAATATGACCTTATGCAGTTGCTAGCGCCATAAAACCCTTACTAAAAACAAACAGCAAACGAAAGAAAAGCAAACAAACAAAATAAAATCCAAACTCCTCACTGGGTCAACATCCTCAGATATGTCAGCCAGGCCCCTTTCACTGGCCTTCGCAGTGCACGGGAGGATATTCACATTGATGGTTACGTCATCCCAAAGGGCACACAGGTAAGTGATACCAGACCGCCAGACACTTTTTAAACAGGTGTATCTATCCTCTCTCTCTCTCTCTCTCTCTCTCTCTCTCTCTCTCTCTCTCTCTCTCTCTCTCTCTCTCTTTGTCTCTTTCTTTATCCCACCCCCTCTCTCTCTCTCAATCTCTCTCTGTCTCTCTCACTCTCTCTCTTTCCGTCTCTTTTCCTCCCCCTCTCTCTCAATCTCTCTCTCTCTCTCTCTCTCTCTCTCTCTCTCTCTCTCTCTCTCTCTCTCTCTCTGTCTTAATATCTCTCTTACGCTCTCTCTCTCTCTCTCTCTCTCTCTCTCTCTCTCTCTCTCTCTCTCTCTCTGGGGAAATAGAATACTTGCAGAAACTGCCCGAGACGAAAAGCAACCATAAAAATAAAGAAATATATAAAAATTACAGCGCCATTCTTTTTCGAACCCCCCCCCCCCCCTGTAATGGCATACATAACACAAGGAACAAGACCTGCTGAAAAATTCTAAACCTTGATGGATCTTGGTTGTTGTTCTTGCTTTCTTTGTTGTTGCTGTTGTTGTTGTTGTTGTTGTTGTTGTTGTTATTTTCATTATTGTTGTTGTTATTGTTGTTGCCCGATTTATGATTTATGTTAGATGACGGTTGCCCCTAACAAACAAACAAAAAAACTCACAAACAAACAAAAACAATAAAACAGAAAAAACAGAAAGGCTTTGAATCTGCTTGGATCTGTTTTCAGCCTGTCAACATGTCTGCGATACGTGTCAAGGTCACACTGCAGCATCATATTTCAAGGAATTACCTTACACTTACAGTCTTACATACGTCTCATTATCAAGTGCCAGATCTGCGACAGACATCGACGATCAAGATACTCCTCTATTCATTCCTTTGCTCGGATACTCTAAAAAAAAAAAGCTACAGCATGCTGGTCTTTCCCTGACACCCATCTGCTAATACTGGGTGCCCACAACGGCTGGATCGGGCCGATCGCCCGACTCGATCGCCCGACTCGATCGCCCGACTCGATCGCCCGACTCGATCGTCTGAAACTGAAAACAAACACGTTTGTTTTTGAGGCGATCGAGTCTGGCGATCGGCCCGATCGGCTGATCTCAGCCGTAGTGGGCACCCCGTATGGACTATCCATGTAGATTGCTCTGGTTCTACTCCTGTCTCAGTTGCCTTGAATTAATTTTTTGCCCCCAACAGCCGAAGAGTTAGAAGTTCAAGGCCTTTATATTTATCCTAGCGTCCTAGAAACTTCATCGGTCTTTCATGACTCTTTTTATCAGCAATGGTCTCCTTCAATTACAATATCATTTGATTTCTTTTCCTCCCAAGTCTCACCCAAAACACCTTTCTATTGCTTCTATTTTATTTTCAGTGTATTTAGTGATTGTCGAGTATTGTCAGCAGTATGGAAGGGGTGACCTCATAAAGCATTTCAGAAAGTTCATTTCGGTAGTCATTGAAATGTTTCTATTTTTCGAGATTGGACTCATTTTATTGAAACCATATCTAGCCATTGCAATTCTTCGTTTTGTTCCCGTGGGACTTTGGCATCAGATGTAATTGTATATCCTTGAAATTCAAACTGTTGAACTTTTAAAAATCTTGTCACCTTTGCTTATGAATTCAGAAATAGGATTTACTGCTTTAAAAAAAATTCCGTGCATTCTGTTTTCTACATACGTATTAACAATGACCCTTTACGTTCAATTCCCGTTACAACCGTATCAAGAAGAAATCGAATGTCCTATTCTGAACCTATTATTAAAACTGTGTCATCGGCGCATCTGATGTTATTAATATCATCGCCATTTAATTTGAGACCTGGACATCTTTCTGTATTCCTAAGGATCGTTTCACGGTAGAGATCTATATATTAAAAAGGTATGGTGACATCATAAAGCATCAATGCCTAACTCTTCTTTCTTTCAATATTGCTTTAAAAAACCATGAACACTTTCTTGCAGTTTCTGGTGAATCAGTGGTTCTTACATCGTGATCCTAACATCTGGGATGATCCCTGGAAGTTCAAGCCAGAACGATTTTTAGATGAGAGTGGAGTCATACTGCCAGCCAATCATCCAGTGCGCAAAAAGTGAGTTTGAGTCTGAAAACAATCTTAATAGTATGTTCGTGCTTTCTCGTCATCCATCTGTTGAAGATTTTTTAAAAAATTACGTCGTTTGCCTCTGCCCCCTTTGCTTTCTATTTTTTCCCCTGAGAATTCAACATGTTCAATTTTTAAAAAATGGATTCAAGTGCCTAGGGACTGTTGTTTTAAAATTCTATTTAACGAATTTTCAATGGAGCGCCCACGATTCTGTACATTATATTATACTTTTTTAATGTAGGTAGTAATTTTGTCCTGCAAGTCGAAGTTCTTGGCTCGAGTCTGAATGACATTCAATTTTTAACGCTCTTATCTTTTTTCATAATTTGTACTCTTAAAAGGTATACTATCTGGAGGAGGGCATAGGTAGGTCCTGGTTCTGTTTTTTTCCCTTTGTTGTTTCAATCTCTCTGCTTTATTTTCCACTTGCAATAGATTGCCATTGTGGCTTCAAAATGTGCTTCTCAAATACATCTTTAGAATAATGTCTCTCGTCAATCTGTTGTTCTAACAATGGACCTACATATCTTCCTTAAAAAATACCGGAATTGTTTTTAAAGGGGAGTTCAGCTTCAGTGGATCTTTTACAATAGACTAAATGTGAGGCAGCGTGGTGGAATCAGGCTCTCGTCAAAATGATCAAAATGAAGAAACTTGCATTTTTCTGCAGGTTTGTGAATGTTTATCAAATTTTTGTTTTTTGGCTCAACGCCTTTCATAACCATTACAGTACTCATTTCTGTGGGGATTTTTCTGAAAAACGTTGATTAAAGGCAGAAAAAAATGTATATTTTCAGTTACCACGGCCTCTTAAGCTATGGAAATAACTAATCTTTGGCGGCC